GAGTAAGCAGCTTAGGATCTTCGTGTCCTCCTCTCCATCATATGAAGCATGTGAAAGATGGATTTTCACTTGTGCCGTTATAGCCCTCCAATCCTCCAACTGCTTTAAAGAGGACCCTGCGATTGGACTTCTGAAGAGCCTGAGACTTTGTGCCACACGGTGCCCAGAGTCAAATCCCGAAATCGCTCTAAACAGCTGCCAGGTGGATCTCTGCCTTAGCCATTTTGCCCCGAAATCTTTGGGTTGGAGCTGCTCAGCGGTTGTTTTCAGCGCCTCTGAGAATTGGACCCTCAACTCGGCTTTTGGTTCTCATGAATTCTACTCGGCTCATTTTTCCATGCCTCCATCTTCCCAAACAAGTTCTGCCAATGACCCATGCCAAATGTCCCTCCCGGTCCTCCATGGTTGAGGCGCCCAGCCAGCTAACCGCTGACCCCGCAAGCAGCTGCAGACCGGACGGGCACAAGGTGCAAGGAACACTGCAAGTAAGCATTTCATGCTCGTGCCGCGCTACAAGCAGCTACAATGAAAATACCTGGAGTCTACCTCAGAATCAGGGCATAGCCTTCCCGAGAGGAACAGATTTGCTTCTGGTCTTGTGGACGATCCGATGTGGTTTGGGGGCCCCATACTGATCTGGCATGGTAGTTGGTCCTAGTCCAAGTAGCCCTTCTGACCGCCTCAAGTGTCTCTCAAAAAGAGCGTGCTGGTGGTTCTTTATCAATTGATTGTATCGGTGGGATGGCATCATCCTATATACTCCAAACCTGAGATGTCATCAGAGGTCAGTCTCCTGAGCTTTCACCTCTTCAGGAGACTGACCTCTGATGACCAAACGCGATCTCAACTACCCAGACCCAGAGGACCATGTCGACAGACTGCTAAAGTCTGGCACCCTTTCTGACAAGTCTGGAACCTGGTTCACGCCTGAATTCCAATAGATTCCTTGAAACCATCATTGAAGTGGAAAACCACATGTTTGTTCTGTGGAAAATGGTAATCCAAGGGACCATTGCCCACTTCCATGATTTTTTCAGGGGCGTGTACCAACTACACAAAGAATGACCTACAAATTCCGATCAAAAGGAGGCTGTTTGAGGATGCTTGAGGTCTTGGAGTGGCACCCCATTTTCCAACCAAAGCCCCTGTGGTGATCACCGTGAACGCTGGCGCTTTCGCGATCCATTTCAAGTGACCGGTGCCGGTTCCGAGTTCGGAGGTGACGGAGGTTTTCCGTCCGGTTCGGTGCCCCCCTGTCAACACATCTACTCACTGGAGAGGTTTGTCATAAAACCCCGACGTGGAACTCCTTTTCGGCTGAAATCAAAACCCACCCCGACGTGAAAGGCTTTACAATCCATGTCTGGGGAGGTTCAATGAATCAACAGTCGGCCTCGGAGGTGCACCCAAACAGGCTGAACCTCCGAGGCCGACTGAACATCGGAATAGAGCTGAACATGCCGTCGTGTGGAGTGAAAACACTCGTCGCTTGGAGTGCAAAGGGTGATAGGTTTCTGGGGGCATTCTCATTCTCGCACGGGGGTTAGTTCAGAAAGAGGTGGGAAAACCCCGCAAACCCGCGCGGTGACCAAAAGGAGATCCGAAAGCGATTCCAAAAGGCTCCTCCATCCAACACCGTGCCCAACCCTCACCTACTCCCAAGCTACTACCCCCCACTCCACTGCGTCACAGGCGGCGGAGATTTTTGTGAAACCGTCCGAAGGTCGCTGGCCTCACAGCAAAGGGATGGTCGCATCCGCTGCGGTCGAACCGGTCCCAAAGTGAGTGAGTGATTGCATGGGATGTGTTGCATGGGGATCTTTCAGGTAATTAGGGCCAAAGAAAGTGGCCAAGAATACGGGACAAACAATGGGATATGATATATATATATATATACATACATTTCTTGAATAGATCTTGGAACCAGCTTGATCGTTCAAATGGGTAGATGGGTTGCACCAAGAAGTGGAAAGCTTCGAAAAAAGCCGCTCGAATCGAGCGTGGACTCGGGGGGAAGCTGTAGCGATGGACCGTGAACCAAGGTGTGAATTGATACATCCCAGCACCACGGATAGACACCCCTGGACTATGTATTTTCCTTCCAATAAGCACTCTTTCCGTGGTCCTGGTCCATGATTGTTTCTTCAGTTTGGAGCCAAGTGTGATTGTATGAGTCAAAACCCCGATACACTCCGATATACATATAAATATGTTGACCCTCCACTCAAACAGACGACAAGCACCAAAGAAAAACATAGAAAAACACTCCCAAACCCGAAGAAATGGACACCTGATTCATGACTAACACATGACACATATGTCTCACACATGAAGAAATGGACGTTGGAAGAGGTCTCCCCCTTGTTCTGCCCCCTGGCAGCAGCTCCCAGTCTGCTTTGCCCCGAACGCCGGTCGAGTGAAACGTCGGGTCAACTCCGCCGGGATGTGCTGGGCGCCGGTCGAAAACCGTCGACATGGTACGCAAAACGAATTGAGTTGTGAAAATTGAGGGTGTTCCGGGGAGGGAATCCAAGCAACTGGGTCTTGCCATGTTGCCTCTATTCTCCCAAAAAGGCTGGCAGAAACTTTGCAGATGCTGCTTCTTCTCCTGCAACAGTTCTTCTCGCATGTCTGAAAATACGTTCCATGGTCAACCACACGCGTACTGGGGAGTGTGTCTATCCGAACCAAAATGGAGATCACAAGGCTAGAGATCCCTTAGGTGTGAGAATTGGGGTCACAAATATGGACGCTGTCCCGTATCTTGGTCCTTCATACAGATAAAGCCAGTAGGAGTCGAACGTGAAGTTTCATGCAGGGCCCAACCAAGTGGTATCGAGGCTGGCGTACAACCACATCCGCTCAACGATCCGGTGAGCAAAAGACGGTGCATGTCTGGGCGGTTAGGCCATGCTGTGTCCGTGCCATCTTCTAGGGTTGAGTCATATACAATAAGGCATTCAAATTCTTTCAGAATGACCTCGCATCTGCAGCTAAAACCACAGAGTTTCGGGGCAAAGCGAGCAATTTGTGTTTTTGTCACGAAGGGAACATATTGCGCGCGAAAGGAAGCAAACGGATTCTTAAAGAGGGGAGGAGCACCCTCTTTCCCGTACTGATGGCGGGACCCGCAGGACCCGGTGGGGCGAGGCTCACCTTTGGAGCTTCGGATGCAGATGGGAGTTCTGCTCTATCCTCGGACAGATGTGGCAGCCATGTGGCGGTCGCATGGTGAAGGCTCTAAGCCCGGAGTGAAGGCTCTAGGCCCTTTTTCCACTACGAGTCATGGTGAAAGATTCAGACTGATAAATCCACAGTATACTCATGATCCGTTTGAAAAGCGAAGGCCTTGGAGGAGACTCCAAGCTTGGCTCGCTCGGGTGTCAAACCGCAAAAGTCCAAGAAACGTAATGCAAGTGTCAGTGTGTGTTCAATTAGTGTATACAGGTGCGTGGGTGGATGGATGGGTGGGGGTACTTACAGTAAATGGGGTAATACGGAGACCTCCACCACAGTGTTTGATTCCCTTCTTCGAAAAGCCGACAGGGGCGATCGGGGGGGGGCATGTGTTTGAAATACACATCGGTCTATCCTATTACCAGAGCCTCTGTGGATGATGCTTAGGTTGCAGGCCTTGTTCAAACATAGTAATTGTTAAGTGGTTCAGTGAGATCTAGATCAGCCATCTCCGCCCTTCGAACATCGGGTCTGGGCGATGCCAAGACCACCGTCCCACTTTCCTTTTGGACAGGACATCTTATCCATCCTTCAGCCAAACCCAGGAGAATCAAGATGCTGAAGAAAACAGGTGAAAAACCAGGGTCTTTTCTATGATGTGTGTGTGTCTATTGATGTTTCTCGGGTGTAATGGATGGTTTTGATGGGAGATCCTCAGATCTTCCTGCTTTTCTTCGATCTGCAGGCTGCCATCTGTCCGTGCTTCTGCATGGGATACTGAGCTTCAGCTCCCAGCAGGAAAGCTTTACGGCAAGGACGTCGACCCAAATGGAACAAGAAATCGGTCAAAACCACTCCGAACGACGTTTGGAAGAAATCGTTCCACCAGGCCCCAGTGTTTGTGATAAAAAACACTGGTGAGACATGGGTGTTGTTCAATGTTCTTTGGTTCAGGTGGTTTCTGGGAGGCCCCGAGCCATCTTGGTGATTCATGACTTTGAAGCTAACCTTGGAACTGATCCGGTGGATTTTGGGGAAGTGGTTGGACCCACACCAAAGATATATGTATCTACTGCAATGTCATCCAGCCAGGCTGCGGCGCGGGAGTGCCCTGCGGTGCTGGAGGGCTGGTGTTTGCGCCCCAGAAGTCTCTGTACGTCTATTCTACTAGCGTCCTTGTTACTACTAGTAAGGCACTTGTCACCATTAGCGATGCACTTGTTCCTAGTAGCTTATTGTTTGTACTAGCGTCCTTGTTACATGTGTTCGCTGAAGATCTCCTGATTCTTGGTGGATCTGGCTGTGCGCCAAAACCAGGATGCCTACCTGCGGGATCAAGCTACATGGTGTCGGGGCTCCAGATTTTGACCAATCCCCACCTGAAATTGTTATGAAACTGTTTATTCCAATCAAGTGCGTTTGTGGTTCGTCCAGTCCCTTGCCAGCCATCGGACCTCCTAAAACTGGGACAGTACGGCCGATCCAGCCGCATCCATCCCCAATCAATGAGGTTCTGTGGGGATTTGGGGTCTCCCAACATCCCGAAAATCAGCTTCTCAAGCTGGGCTTGTGGGGCTCTGAGCGGCTGGCTTTGCTTCCAATTCGGATCCGAACTGCATGCGACCGGGTCATGGTGCTTCTTCCAGTGGACTCAGATCAAGGCCTACAGGCTCCCAAGTTGTGGACCGATGGACCCGTCACTGACGAAGCTGGGTTTGCCACTTCGCCCTACTCACCGTCTTCGGAAGCAAAGCCATGGAGTGGAACAGGTCTCCGCATCTCCTCATCGCCACCGTCGACCCCTTCATACACAGACCAATTGATCACACAGTCCAGTTCTCATACAGCATCGTAGTCCTGAGTGGTTCAAGAGCCCCACGCGCGCAAGCAGATGTCTGGCCAGTAGAAAAGGACCACTGGTATTGCGTGCGGTACACGTGCGCGAGCCTTTTCCTGGTGTGTATTGACATAGAGAGAGAGAGAGAGGGAGAGAGAGAGAGAGAGACCCCCAAACACGACTGGGAAAAGCAAACATTTAGCCATTTATGAGCAAACTAGACCAGGGGGTCTCCATCAGGCATATATATTATGCAATTGGCACTGTATCTCTACACCCTGAGTGACATCTACTTTAGACATCTTCAGACCACCGACCACCACTTGTGCCGATGAATGGAAACAAATCCAGCTTGGGTAATACATGGCAATGCCTGGCACATGTTCCTGGAAATCCTGCGTGTTTGTTCAGCGAAAAAGAAGAGTTCCCACTTGCTGCTCCAAGTCCGGTCGTCCCCGTGCATGCGTCGACGTTTGTAGGCGTGCAGTGCTTCGACCGCAATTGACCTGACAGCGATGGCCTCCAACCTACTAGTGATGGCCTCCAACCTAGAAGCGATGGCCTCAAACCTAAAAGCGATGGCCTCCAACCTAGAAGCGATGGCCTCCAACCTAGAAGCGATGCCTCCAACCTACTAGCGATGGCCTCCAACCTAGAAGCGATGGCCTC